AAGCAGCCGCGCCTCTTTCTGGTCGAGCACAGCTCAATCGACCTGCTCGCCTTTGGGACCATCGTGAGCCTCCTGCTTTCGACGCTGCCGCCACCAAACGGGACTCTTATGGCTCTAATACTCACTCTGAACCGTCCCCAGATGTCTATTTACGTGGTGAATTGAGTCAGACTTCCCATTCGCCTTCATCTCAACGAAATGCTCCAACAAATGTTGTAAACGAGCCACTTATCTTAATCTCAGACGAAGAAGACTCGATACCTGAAACCGAGTCGAAAAGTTTTTCACATTCACCAGGACAGTCCGATTCAGCAGAGACCGATTCCAAAATTCAGAGCCTTAGCAAAGAGCAGGACAAGCCAGTGTCTCCAAAGGAGCAGCCTAATTGTAATTCTTCCAGCAAGGCAAGCCAAGGGAAGGAGGACTGCGTAACAATATGGCAGACTCTGATCCACATTCCCAGCACAAGGGGGAGGGGGGTGAGAAGGTCAGTGTGGAGTGCGGAGGATTCTCATGAAAGCCGCTAAAAAGGGCACACCGTACCGCATTTAATTAAGTAAGTAAAATATTGTGACAGTGAAGTCGTGATTGGAGGATATAGGAAAGGCGAATAGCCCAGGACGGAAGTAGAGATACCACAACTATTTAGCACACGTTTGATCAAAGGATCGGCTTTACTTGTCTCTTTGACGAGTTGTGTGGTGCTAAGAATGGCGAGACTCACTGACGATGCCGGCAAACCGTCTGGGAAAGTACCACATCCACGGTCCGACTTTGTAAATGATCATGCATACAATGGACTCCGGACTAGGTGCGTGCCTCTAGTTATTCCTACCAATATGACCAAGTTGCGCAAACAAGGTCAAACAACCTCTACGAAATTATGCATTACTCATTTGAGGACAGGGGCTCTACTTTTTCCTTTATAAGTAGGTTTTCTAGACTGTCAATGGATCATATATATGAAATGTATTTCCGCTATTTCGTTTAAGGTGATGAAAGGTTGATAGTTTACTTTGTCTACAATCACGTGAGTAGACCTTGAGCTTCTTTAAATTTTAACTTGGCCTCGCTTCCCAAAAGGTATTCCAATCCAGGGAAAAGATGGTAGCCAAAAATGCGTTAAAATGTTATATGATGGCAAGCCGATACATTTGTCTTTTTACCATAGACGAGGGTGTCTTCATCATATTTGGCAAGCACGAAATATTGCTCAAGGAGATGTACACTTTACTGGTTATGTTCTATGGATAATGATGATACAGTGCAAGAAAGGCTACATTAAGCTGAAAAACTCCCAGAACCGGGTTGTGTGGTACACT